AATGGAATAAACATATTATTTAAACTAAGATAAACATGTTACTTTTAGTTTTAGGAGGAGAGCCGTTAACAACCATTTTCTCTTCTAGACATCCAAAAATATTAATTTTTATACTGTGTTCAACTGTAGCTGGTATGATGGATTGGGTAATGAATATTCATATGATGTTTGCCATTTACAATACACACATTTCTTTAACACAACCCAAGGTGAAACTCATAATACATGAGTACAACCAACCACCAAAAGTGCATATCAATTTGATAAAAATTCACAGCTTCATACAAAATAATATTAACTAAATGAACTAGAATAAATCAATTGATACAATGATGTTTGTATATACAATGATGAGGTGAAACATATAGCCTCCACATTTCTTCAAAGCTATACAATACTTACTAGGTTTGGTGAAATATCAGCTAATAAAGTAACCTGATTGAGTTCTACTGATTTTAAGCATACTAACATAGCCTGGAAATATTCTTCATTACATAGAAACCCATCATCTACAAAACACAATATAAACACTTATATAATACAATAACTATCATAATGACAAAACACATGTTTCTCTACACTATAGTGATGTATTGAACAAAAAGGCAAACAAAATACCTCAAATTGTTGAATTTAAAGGATCATTGCCAAGTATTTCTATCAAAGAAGCAACAACATGAACAAGATTCTTATATGTTTAAATTAAGACAAAGATTTTGACTCTAGAAATGAGGGTACTGATTTTTTAAGCATGCATGTCATTAACTGACTGGAATCTAGATTTAACTAAGTAACTCAACCGCAATCTATGTAAAATGGTCATGACACTTTAACATTTAAACTAACATATTGTATTATTCATCCACCTGTTACATTCCAATACAAACCACAAAGTCCATAAATCAATGACAGTTTTCTTCCATAAAATACTACTATTAGTTATACTCAATATTTGAACCTAAAGGAATATTTGAAACTTAAACAATCATACCATGCAATATGATTTTAAAACCTAATAATGTCCACAACTTCAATTATAATTCAAATATATGACACATCAATTATAATTTGACATCAACTGTCATATCTATTTTCTTGGTTGACAAGTCAAAAACTTTGTCAATATATCATAAACTAGCTTTTGAGCAATTTACAAGGAAATTTGAGCACAGGTTTTTAGTTATTTTACAAAATTTGTATAGTACGATGTAAAATATTATAAATTTTTGGTCAGATGGTCAGATTATTGAAATATATTATAACGTACATTTTTCATATTTGTAAAACATAAAGAGACAACTGGCATGTCATTGAACTAAAATCTGATTACAAACAAATTATAATAATCTGTAGCTAAAACAATTTTTCTTCGTAAATCTTACTTGAACTCTCATTATTACAAAGTGATCGAATAAACAAATATATGATTTCATAAGAGGTTTATCATAAAAATAATCTTATCATTTATAATTATTAATCCAGATTAACATGGCATAATAAGTTCAGATGTAACATCTAGCTCTGTAGCTCTGATTGACAACATAACTACTTGTTGAGGAGATATTTAATTCCATGCCTCTTAGGCTATTGTTTAACAAAATTAAATAAAAATTCATATCATAGAAAGAAAAATCTTACCAAAATGATTTGAATATAAGCCAACTGAATATATCACATATTAGGTATAAGTACTGTAATAATACTGTATATCAAATTTGTATTTATTGTATTAAATAACATGAGATCACATCAAAATTCTGCACCTCTCCTGAAATTACCACTGTATGAAATACTGTTATAGTCACTTTTCACATGGTAATTTACCCTTATACAGCAGTAGTATTTGACACAATGATGTCTAGGAAAAGACTGATATTTATCACTATGACAATATGTCTGTGGATAATAAAATACTGCCATCTGTTTCACACAATGTTCTCACAACACCATACCATCTACATGTATTGTTTTATTGTCATATCACACCATATTCACCTACAATTACTGCAATATCCTACATGTGATATGAATGATAGATGTTATTCTAACAAATTATTCAACTCTTTCAGAAACATATTCTTCAGAATCCAATTAGAATCTAATATTACAGAGAAATGACAATTGCTGCAATATCATCTATGTATTATGTAACAGATGGGTATATCACATTAAATTTAAGAGAATAAAAGATGTGTTATTCTTTACACCCCAATCACTCATTGTTATTCCTATTTGAAAAATTCACTAAAACACTGATTGTATTTCAATTTTATACTCCAGGGGTAATATGATATGGGAAGAAGACACTCCTTACTGAAAACTAAACCGAATTTTGCCTTTTGGCAGAGATGAGATATTCTATAAAAAAATTAAAAAGGCTGAAAGAGATAGAAAATCACTTTACATTGCCAGAACTAGAAATCACTGGTTGTTGAAACAGAAATCTTTGTTTTAAAGATAGCTCTGCCATCACAACAGGCACTTTACTGTATTACAACTTTAACTGCTGCTTAATACTCAATGATGTCAATGCCTTGTCTTGTGTACTAACAGATAAAAGGTAAGTATTAACTATTTCAATTGAGAGGATCAATATATATTAGTAGACTATTACCCCAGATAAGCAGGCTCTTTCTTCATGAGTCATTGAGTTTGATTTAATGTGAAATCTATATCATTGTATTATGTTTAATAAAACCCAGTAAACTATTAACATTTTCAATACATTTATATTAAATACTGATGTCACCATGTCAGCTGAGTTCACATTCTGACCTAGAAAACTGCCATTATATCAGGCACAGGAAGAATTAATTTAATCTCAGACCAATCCAAATTATGTGACAGGAAAATTGGCTGTTGAAGAGTTGAAGCCTCCTTCCTAAAGCAAAATGATCTGTGTGGCTTTGAGCATCCATGACTTTCAGCAACAACAAAAAAAAACACCATCAGGGTACAATTATTTCATAAAATATTTTGAAATTTTTTTATTGTAAATGTGATTTTCATTGAAAAAATCCGAAATTTAAGACATTTTTTTTTTTACTTTTATACCCTTGTTTAAAGTAACATTTAAATCAAAGATCACTGCCATTGGCCATACTGTGCTAGCATGTTAACCACAAAATTTGCATACTTAGTTCATGGACCTTTTATACTCTCTATTTAGATCTTGTCAGAATAGATAACATATCACTTTAAATATTCATTAAACTTTGATTAGTAAATTTGTCCCAGATAAATATTAAACTGCAAATTTAGATTGAGCAAGAGATAATCAATAATGATAATTTTATAACAAATTATACTGTAGATGTGAAATTTTTCACAAATTATTAGCAAAACGCAATTGAATTTTGGTAGCATTTATATCTTAAATGTAATAATCAATTAAATAGTCCTTACCAATTCTAAATGGGTCAATCCATAAACGAAATTATGAAGAAGTGTAACATTCTGCGTCAATCTTCAACTCTATATATCAATAACAACGGTAAGTTTAAAATACCCTGACGTCCCATTAATAATACAAAATTCAAAATATACCAGTTTTACAAATTACCCACATGAAGTAAACATTCTTTACTTAATAAGACCAAAATTTACATATGTAAATTAGATTAGCTTTATAAATATACTCATGTGATGGACCAAAGGAAGGGCATTTTTCACCATCCACAATAATAAGGTTATATGAGGTTATTGGTCCTGATCAGTGAACCATACATAATCAACAAAAAAAGTGACCGTTTTGGTAGTGACCAGGTTATAGCCTACTTGACTACTTTCAATCACATTTATATAAAAATTTCACCTTTAGATAGATTGATGAATAGTTATGAAATAGAAATATCAAAGCAAAGCCAAATTATGTGTTTTAAGTTTTATTTCCAATCAGGCCAATAACTCAAGAATTTTGCAAAAATTGAATTCACTAATTGACATGATACTATGCATATCAAGTTTCACTCTAATAGAATCAAACATATAATTTCTGTCATGTTTTAAGCCCTATTTTCAATGTAATCAACTATTCATTAAAAAAATTGTGAAAATTCTGGCCAATATTTACATTTATAAAGGCTGCCTTCTTATTATTTTTTTGTTTGTTTCAGTGTTCCATTGTACTAAAGATTGGATGAATTTAGGATAGAGCCAGTTCGAAAGACTGGCTATGAACTGTATGAGAGATTAAACAAATACTGGCATGCCATACTCAACTACAACAAATACCTGGAAATGCCAACAAGTTCAGATTTCTGCTGAAAGGAACCAAGAGTTCTCTTGAAGGAACCAAGAGTTCTCTTGACTTGAAACAAAATAATCAGAAAAATACATATAAATCTCTTTACTGTTTTACCTCTGTTCTAATAGTTGATTAACTAAGAGAAAAACTAAGATCTCATTGAGTTTTAACCTTTATAACTACAATCAATAAACTATTGGAATATCTGATATAAATTTACATAGCATATTGTGTGTACCAGCATAGCAATATACAATATATTAACATATACTAACTTGATAATAATTCTAGACCAATAACATACTATAGTTCAAAGGCACATCTATATGAAAACATACTGACAGACAGACAGATGAATCTTGTCTTTCATCAAAGTAAAGCTTTTCTCTTATTCAGTTGAAAACACAAGTCAGATCTTCAACTCATTGTAGGCCAAATGGACTCACATAGAACTATTCGTTTTGATAAGAAGAAAAATCAACGTCCTCAAAGCTACTAACTGGGCATGTTATGTTAAAGAGCTATAAAATACATTTGAAGAGTATGCCACTGCCCTGATAAAATTTCACTAACTGACTAACCGGCAGTTAATAAGAGCGTTAGGGTCCCATGATTTCATAATCGTTGGTACATATATCATAGCAGATGACTTGACACAGCACCTTATCTTTATTTCAATACATATGTGGAAAAATCATTAAAATATGTGTCTAATCTCTCTCCAATTGAGACATTGTAACATATGTAATAATAGTTAAATAGCAACTATCAGCATTTTCAGAGGTTGATTTGGGTCTAAAATATATGTAAATGGTCTTCAGAAGTGAGAAAATCAAATAATCTCTTAAAATATGCTTCAAACTAGAAATCTCTCATTTCATTTTTATCTTCACTTTCCCTGTCTGAATAATGTTTAAGCATGCATCCTTTCAGACAAATAAATATACAAAAGACACCTACCATAATAGTGTTGATATAAATGCTGTTTATTACAGACTAATGTATGTAATTGCGATGATAATGTATGATCATTTAAACTATCACGTAACCAATGTAAACACCTATCTTGTTTACTTTCATTACATCTAATAATTAGTTCTATCTTTGGTCCTAATGTAGGATTCAACCATTTTAATTCTTGTATAAATTTCCAATAACTAACTTGATTGTCATCTGCTTTTTCTTCCTGTCAAAAAAATAAAATTCTCTAGATATACCAAAAGTCATCATAACATGCTTTCCCAATAATAACACAGCTTTGTCTATGTGTAACATCCAGGGTGGCCAATTGTTGGCTTATTCAACTCTTTATTAGTAAACACATAAACAACATTTGGGCCTACAGAAACTATAAAATCAATTGGCCTGAATGAAAACAACAATATCTATTTTAAGAGTTTACATGTGGGTAATAGCCACTGAAATTTAAGTTAAAGTTTCATAAACAAACCTGTAATTTAATTCTATGCAGTAAAATATCTTCAACATGTTTACAAACTCTATTTAATCCACCATATATATTCCATACATTGATACTTTGATTTGCTAATAGTCCCTCTACAGTCGACTTTAATCCCATTAATAATGAAGAGCAGGTTACACTGTAAAAAAATGGTTGCATACTTTTACACATTAATAAAATCACAGGGCCCAAAGCCTTGCATTGACAATGTAAAAACTTTTAAATCCCAGAGACAAATAATTGCTGTCATCGATGAAAAAATCTAAGCTATACCTAGATATTCAACAAATAGAACCTGTAAATACTTGATTCTTTATTTTGATAATTCTGTGTCAGCAAATTGTGATATGATGAGATATTTGGCCATTATATAACTTATTACTAATTAGATCTATCAACCTTAGATTTTTTACAGTGACTTTATTCACTGAAAGAAAAGGGTCTAAGGACCTAAGGTTAGGTTCTGTGATTTAGTTCTCTTGGTGATGTTCTCTTGCTAATACTAAGTTAGGCCTACTTGGAATCGGTCTGGTGAAAAGCCAAGGCAAGAAAGGATGTCTGCATCTCATGAGACTCATGGCAACTTGAAGTTCTTTATATATTTTCAAGAATGAAGAACAATCATGCTGTTGGGTTTTGTGAAGATATGACACTATTGCCTTTAACTACTGAATCATTTGACTTATATTGTAGTAAAGACGATGAAAAATCAGCTTTTAGTCAAAACATGTCACCTTTTCCCAATCTCTTCAGTTCTTGCATCCGCCATCTTTTTTGTTTACAAGTTATCCAGAGTCAGAATACTAATTTTCGTATAAGGGGGCGTGTCAATATTATTCTATTGGTCTATAATGGGACGCAACTCCAATTTAAATGATTGTTCAGACAACAACAGAACATGTTTAATTAACAAATAAAATTAGTCAGAGAAAGATATTGTGTACTTAAACATTTATAAACTGCTTAAGTCACCAGCGCAAACGCCATTTATTGGGTTTATGATATTTTATATAAAGGCATTTTTGTGATAATTGTATTATACAACAGTTTAGAGGAATTGTAAGCTCCATTTATACGCCTAATTATTGAAAAATGGAATGTTGCAAATCCATGCTTTCATATATAGATATATGTATATGTAAAATTAGAAAATCGCTTTATATCCTTTTCAGCAGTCTGTTCGATGTTGTCTGAATGTGAATCAATCTTGTGTAAGATGAAGTTGTTTCCCTTTGATAAGTATTCAGTGCAGTTGCACAACTAGCTCTCTAACAGCCAACACAACATAATTATACCATTGCCAGCAAACAAAGTGACTCATGTCAAATATTCTCCTCATCATCTAACTTAACAAATTATGGCATGACACACTAGTCTACTTCAATAATAAAATATATCTCCCTTGTGTTTTTTGTTGATGTTATTGAGCTGCAAAGATTTTGATTTGGAACAAACTGAGGTAAATTAAACTTTTCACCTCTGAGACGAAGAGAATCTGTAATCGTGTCTTATGTTCTGACGCTACTCAAAGAGATATCTGTAAAAACAGATCTGACATTTAGGTTAGTAACAGTCACAAAAATGATTTAACCTTCATCCCGATTGTAAACAGTTTCTAGTAAAAATAGAAATTAAAAGAATTTTCTGAAATGGGATTAGTGTCATTGTTGGTTGACTTTGTACAGAAATCTATACCTTTGATTTAAAATCTTGATGTAAGATAGAATAGGCATAATTTTACTATGATATTTGGAAAATAAATATTGCATCATAAAAAAACTAACTGTTAGTCGTCAATGACCATACTTAAGATGATTTTAATGGCATGAATATATGACATATATCTGTCAATAGTTTAATAAAAACATGATTCGACTCCAACAAATATTCAGAATTATTGCAATTTCTGAATACATGCTTTAATTGCGAAACCCCAGAAACTACCAGATGACCTAATGGTAGCAACTGAGCTGAGTTGAACTGGTGATGCTTAGAACTACTTAAACAACTTGACCAACATTTTGTCATCTGGATCAAGTAGGCCCTACTTCTCAATGATTATTGTGTAAAAACAGGCGATTTTAATCACAATTATCAACCGCTCATAATCATTGATAATCATTAATGATAAATTATCAATTAAAAACCCACTTTTTAGATAAATTTCTTGATAATGGTATTTAATTAGTCTTTTTATCATTTAGAACATCGTGTGATACATTCATGTAGAGATAAATGGCTTGGTTCAGCTTTAAAGAGATCCCAGTTTAATAATTTCTATATAAGATATAAGTCTAGTATTGTCTGATTGAATATGTAACAATTTACAATAGATATTAGACTAGTTAATAGCCTTGGTTAATAATATATACCAATTTACAATAGACAGCATTCTAAAGTCTTTGATTTTATTTTGTTAGTATTTAACAGTTTATAGAAGACAGAAGTTTAGTACTAATGTGCTGCTTAATACATAACAATTTACAATAGACATCAGCCTGGAATGATTGTCTTGACTAGTGCATAACAATTTTCAATAGACATCAGTCTGGAATGATTGTCTTGTCTAGTACATAACAATTTACAATAGACATCAGTCTGGAAAGATTGTCTTGACTAGTGCATAACAATTTGCGATAGACATCAGTCTGGAATGATTGTCTTGACTAGTGCATAACAATTTGCAATAGACATCAGTCTGGAATGATTGTCTAGACATCAGCCTGGAAAGATTGTCTCGACTAGTGCATAACAATTTACAATAGACATCAGCCTGGAATGATTATCTTGACTAGTTCATAACAATTTACAATAGACATCAGCCTGGAATGATTGTCTTGACTAGTGCATAACAATTTGCAATAGACATCAGTCTGGAATGATGGACTTGGCTAGTGCATAACAATTTACAATAGACATCAGCCTGGAATGATTGTCTTGACTAGTGCATAACAATTTACAATAGACATCAGCCTGGAATGATTGTCTTGACTAGTGCATAACAATTTGCAATAGACATCAGTCTGGAATGATGGACTTGGCTAGTGCATAACAATTTACAATAGACATCAGTCTGGAATGATTATCTTGACTAGTGCATAACAATTTACAATAGACATCAGTCTGAAATGATGGACTTGGCTAGTGCATAACAATTTACAATAGACATCAGTCTGGAATGATTGTCTTGGCTAGTGCATAACAATTTACAATAGACATCAGCCTGGAATGATTGTCTTGACTAGTGCATAACAATTTACAATAGACATCAGCCTGGAATGATTGTCTTGACTAGTGCATAACAATTTGCAATAGACATCAGTCTGGAATGATTATCTTGACTAGTGCATAATAATTTACAATAGACATCAGTCTGGAATGATGGTCTTGGCCAGTGCATAAAAATTTACAATAGACATCAGTCTGGAATGATGGTCTTGGCTAGTACATAACAATTTACAATAGACATCAATCTGGAATGATTGTCTTGGCTAGTACATAAAAATTTACAATAGACATCAGCCTGGAATAATTATCTTGACTAGTGCATAACAATTTGCAATAGACATCAGCCTGGAATGATTGTCTTGACTAGTACATAGCAATTTACAATAGACATCAGTCTGGAATGATGGACTTGGCTAGTGCATAACAATTTACAATAGACATCAGTCTGGAATGATTGTCTTGACTAGTGCATAACAATTTACAATAGACATCAGTCTGGAATGATGGTCTTGGCTAGTGCATAACAATTTACAATAGACATCAGCCTGGAATGATTATCTTGACTAGTGCATAACGATTTACAATAGACATCAGCCTGGAATGATTACCTTGATTAGTGCATAACAATTTACAGTAGACATCAGCCTGGAATGATTACCTTGATTAGTGCATAACAATTTACAATAGACATCAGCCTGGAATGATTGTCTTGGCTAATACATAAAAATTTACAATAGACATCAGCCTGGAATGATTATCTTGACTAGTGCATAACAATTTACAATAGACATCAGCCTGGAATGATTGTCTTGACTAGTGCATAACAATTTGCAATAGACATCAGCCTGGAATGATTATCTTGACTAGTGCATAACAATTTACAATAGACATCAGCCTGGAATGATTATCTTGACTAGTGCATAACGATTTACAATAGTCATCAGCCTGGAATGATTGTCTTGGCTAGTACATAAAAATTTACAATAGACATCAGCCTGGAATGATTACCTTGATTAGTGCATAACAATTTACAGTAGACATCAGCCTGGAATGATTACCTTGATTAGTGCATAACAATTTACAATAGACATCAGTCTGGAATGATTATCTTGACTAGTGCATAACAATTTACAGTAGACATCAGCCTGGATTGATTATCTTGACTAGTGCATAACGATCTGGAATGATGCTCTTGGCAATTTACAATATACACAGACAGCTATAGTTAATATTATTGGTCATTATGTTGATCAGTGTGAATGTACTGTGAGTGTGAAGGGTATTCAACCCTATTTTGGAAAGATTATGGTTACATGAGTTTTATAAATTAAAATCTTTTCGTAATCACTGTTGGGATCATTAAGAGCTATGTCAAGTTGTATTATGATTATTGTTATCGGTACATTTGACCTTTAAAAGAGACATTATCATGTACCCTACATTTGGATACCTCGAACTGCCAAATAGAGTTCATAACCTTTCTTTTTATCATATTTGATGTAGTGAACATGATACTATATTTTACTATTCACGTAATTTGGCATAACATCTTGACATAATGTGGCATGAACTCGAGTCTGTGCTGGCTGTATCTTCACCACGCTGAAGTAGTTTTACGTGTAACTTTCTTACCACAGGTTGGGCTAATGGGGACAGGACAGTGGCTTTAGTGTACTCGTTTCAGATTTCCAACTATTCGGGGATTTTTTATATAGCTTGCAGCATAGCACACATTGTATGGAAGGCGGGGCTTTAAAGCTTTGTTTGTGGTTCGGGGGTTCCACCTGCGCAACGTAGTCCATTATAAGATAAGATTTTGATACAATATTAGAAACTTCAATCAAATAATTAATATAATAAACTTTAAATACAACAATTAAAATGAAATAATATAAATTGTATGAATTTCCCGAGATAGTTATTCGTAGTCAATTTGATATATATCATGATAGAGTGATCGTTTAATTATGGTCTCTATTTATTCTACGTTTTGGTAAGTTATAATAGCTGACGTCTTGATATCGGTAATATCTGGATTTGAAATTAACTGTGCTGTACTTTAAAAATATAGATATATACCAGGTAAATCAGTGCAAACTCCGACTTGAAAGTATTTTTTGTGTCTTTATTTGTAAACATTTGCCAGGATTTGCTTTGACAAAAACTATCGGATGGAAGTAAAACTTTTTTCTTTCTGAGCATTCGAGAATAACCATTACATGACAAATCTTACTTTGAAAATACTAAAAGTGTCAACCACATCTATTTTAAGATTCTTATATAACTAAGCCGATAATATGTAATTATATAATTATACAGTAATATAGCTTTATCTGGATTATCCCTCAAATCCGTTATCGACTACAGAGAATAATTGACTTACGGTTTATTTGCAAGTGAAAAACTTTTCGAGGGATTAAGATTAGGGTCTCTAAATGCCATACTTGTTGATTTGAATTTTGTATCAAGTCTTGTATCAAGTAGGCCCTAATGTTGTGGAAATTAATTAAAACTTATCTGCACTTATACCGATAAGGTATATGCAATGAGTGGGTCAAAGTATCATCAGAGTCTACCCCCATCATCACTTTGTCACTAGGCAGACTACACTGATACAAGTCACTTTGAATTCGGGTTGGGATTTCAAAGCGGAAAACCATAAAAAAAATCCTTAAATCCTGTGTAAAACTGTGTTTAAATAGGATTTCTGTATTAATATATTATGTATTCGAAATCATCACCTAAGAAGAGCATAATTATCCAATTAGCCGCTATCTATTTTTTTAAAGGATTACAATCACTTGAAATACTTTAATTATTTAACCTATAATTTTCAGTACGAGACGAGTTATCTGATGACTATATCCCTTTGTAAAATTACAAGGTATGTTTTGACACAGTTGTCCGTCATAGCAAATACAGAGGACTCGCTCATTCCTCGGGATCCAACTAATTACTTGACATTGTAACTCGTGACATTGTGGTAAACACACCTCAAGGTAACCACTCCTTAAAATAACCTGATAAACATAATATTGACATAAACATTATTGGGCAATGTATGGCACGAGTTGAGGGTTGACAATGAATATCTTTGTTTTAGATTATTTAATATGAAATGAAATGAAATGAATGGAGTTTTACGTCCTACTTATGAAGATAGGCAACGCAATGCAAGGTGCAATGAGGGAAATTTTGCAAAGACAGCGGCCTTAGCCTGCTCTTTTTCGATTTCCAACTGTCGAGGGATCTTTAACGTGCACAGCCTGTAGCACACGGGGCCTCGGTTTATTATCCCATCCGAACGACTAGACGCTGTTTCCATGTCAGCTCCTCTTAACTGCGTCACTGACAGTGTATTGAATATGAGCATCACTAATTATTAAGAGCGAAAACCGTATAAATATGTTATGAAGCTGCGACAATATAGTCCTTATTGTAATGCGGTTGTATAAAAAGTCTTCGCTCACCAAAATCTGGTGTTATAAAAGGTATTACACAACGCTTAAAAAATGTATGACTTGTACTGAGTCTATGAAATTTGCTCCGCCTTCCCGAATTCCACCTTTTATGGCACTTAAATGACAAAACATAATGTCACACATTGGGTGAAAAAGTCTATAATACACAAAAACTATGATAGGTTTATAGTTTAGTCCTGCTGAAATAGTTCACAGACATAAAGATGTGACAGTGTAAGTTTGTTATATAAAGAATGATATATAAATTTTACATAAATCTTATGTAACTCCAATATTTATTGCCTTCCGTAGTCAGAAAATAAGATGGTCGAAAATCTAAAGTAATAATCTTCAAAGGCTCTCTTCAATTTGACATCGTCAAATCACCCCTTCTCTCAAATTGAACTCCTAATCATAATTAATTCTGAAACTTCAAATCATCAACATTTCGTAACTCCTATTGATAACTAGTCATAAATTACCCTGGTGATTCAAATAATAGACTACTCTGGCGCTTTAAATATAAAAAAAATACTTCAGATCTTCAAATCATAAACTACTCTGAAGCTTCAAATCAAAAAAATACTTCAGAGCTTCAAATAATAAACTACTCAGGAGCTTCAAATCAAAAAAATACTTCAGAGCTTCAAATCATAAACTACTCTGGAGCTTCAAATCAAAAAAATACTTCAGAGCTTCAAATCATAAACTACTCTGGAGCTTCAAATAATAAACTACTCAGGAGCTTCAAATAATAAACTACTCTGGAGCTTCAAATCAAAAAAATACTTCAGAGCTTCAAATCATAAACTACTCTAGAGCTTCAAATAATAAACTACTCTGGAGCTTCAAATCAAAAAAATACTTCAGAGCTTCAAATCATAAACTACTCTGGAGCTTCAAATAATAAACTACTCAGGAGCTTCAAATAATAAACTACTCTGGAGCTTCAAATAATAAACTACTCTGGAGCTTCAAATAATAAACTACTCTGGAGCTTCAAATCATAAACTACTCAGGAGCTTCAAATAATAAACTACTCTGGAGCTTCAAATCATAAACTTCTCTGGAGCTTCAAATAATACACTACTCTGGAGCTTCAAATCAAAAAAATTCTTCAGAGCTTCAAATCATAAACTACTCTAGAGCTTCAAATCAAAAAAATTCTTCAGAGCTTCAAATAATACACTACTCTGGCGCTTCAAATCAAAAAAATACTTCAGAGCTTCAAATCATAAAGTACTCTGGAGCTTCAAATCATAAACTACTTTGGAGCTTCATAACGACATATCATTTTACTACTCAAAGATTTTTAATTCATTCCTAAAACACGAATTGTTCGACAACAATAAAGTATTAAACTAATCAATTACTAATTCACAGCTTATTAGGTATTAACATAAATTATTAACATTAATATGACGGACATGAATTTCATGGTCTTCATTTACACGTGTGTTTGATTTTGATTTTGATGATGCAATCCTGTTTATTTACATGATATTTTTGGAACAGAACTTACTATTGGGTTTGTTCATAATGTAACAATACAAATCAAACATACCAATTTCACAATGAATTAAATGAACTTTTATTTTGCATTTCATGTCAAAATATAGACCAACATCATGCTTGTACTCAATGGTAAACAAACCTACTACTCTAAAAATAATTTCATTCAATAGGTTAGTAAGTTACAACAGCCAATGAGTAATAGTTTCCAAAAGCATGATCAAAATAAGCCAATCAGAGGGCAGTATTGCGGCTCGCCCTCTAAGCTGTTTGTTTTCATGGTAAACGAGTTTATTATATCACCAGGGGAACCAGATACACTATTTAAAATTTTGGATCCCACATACTTACTTACAAGTATTAAAATTGGGATTGCCTTGTTAAGATCGCTGCAAAATATTTGCTATCAGTCTCATTTTAAGCTCAGTATTAGACTCACATCCACAATTTTTGAGATCCTGTTTACCCTTAATGTAAATTAGACTCGTCTAGAAAATATACTCACTTGAATATCAAATGTACTGGAATACTTCCGTTATTTACTGGTTAACAAATCCTGTATAAATAATCACACATTTATATATATTTCATCAGAAATAGAGAGAAGAAGAGTCATTGGAAAATATAATGGAGAAAAGTTTGGAAGAAGCGAGTAATATGTGTAGTGGAATAGAGAGTCAACAGTCCTTGGTATCTGCTCTTTGTAAATTTGTGGGCGCTGTGAAAAATATGGATGAAGCTGTGATGATACCAAGTAAACTAAGAGATATGGAAGTTGGCGAGACTGATCTGGCAATATTAGAACCTAATAACAACAAATCAGACCTACCTAAAATGCCCACTGGAGCAGATTTGTACAGTTTTTATTCTATGTTAAACACAGTTAAACACGAAATTATTTCAGGATCGGCATCCCGACTTGACACAAGCAGTGAAATGGACGATAATGCTAACGATAGTTCTAAGGAAACCGCCGATGCCTTCAGACATCACTTAAAAGGAATCTTCAAACTTCTGCACCAGTTGACAGAAACAGCCGAATTTTTAAAGAGTAGATATGAAGGCGAAGTGAAACCAAATACAGAAACCTCCAGGCCGTTGCATTTGTGAATATAGTGACATTGATATTAGCAGATGAAATATTGAGATAGACTTCTGGACAAATTAATCGATATGGCTGGGATTTCAAATATTTTGATACTATTACACAGATTTATAACGGAAAGACATCTTGATTGAACCTGTTACCAACATTTTACAACAACAGGAATGTTTTACACATGATTTCTGATGCAATGATTTTGTTAATTTCTCTTTACATCGACTATAACCGGCCGGCATCATTTTCTACAGAGCTCATTATCATAATTCCAGGATTCTAGACTATCAGCTGTTCGAGTCAAGGACACGTGAGTTTATTCGTCTGCTGAGGTATATTAGCAGATCGTGTAAAAACGTGCCCGAGGAAGTTGTGATCTTTGGAAACTTTTCCTGCAAGTTAGTGAGCTCACAAAAGTGATAAGTGTGTATTTTCTTTGCTGATTGAATGGTATTAGTCTTACTTTAGCCTTACATCAAACCCTCAATCTCTGTAGATTTCATCAAACTAAAGACAAGCCAAACTTATGTATAAAAGAAGTGTTAATTGAGTGTGTTATTAGTATGGAAGATATAAATGTGTTTAATCTTTATTCTAATTTATTGGACAAAACGTGAGTGAGTTGTTTGAATTGAATGTCAGCTAAATGTTATTTTTGTACGTAACACCTTCATTAATGTTCAAATGAGAAAGAAAAAAAAAGGTTCCATTTCTAAATTTTGTCTTTTTTATGTTTAACTGTTTTAACCTCTTGGGTGGTAAATTGTATTTGGAAACTTGACTGTGTGGCTAAAATGACAGCTTTGAAGAATGCAGTATTGATATCCCCTTTTATTGAGTGTTCTTCATACACCGAGCGTCCCTAGGTCTTTGTTTGATAATTGATTTGACAAAATAATACATACATTGCTATAGTATGTCGAGATAACATTCAATACTAGTAGCAATATGGTACAGTGTATTTTAATAAATACACTAAGTATTTTTACAGATTTGTAAAGGTCAAGGCCAACTTTGATTATAGCTGTAGCGTGTGATTTATTGTTGCCATGAAGAAAAACACGAGTATTCAGCATGTTTCCTGAAGAGTCAACAAACTTTCCACTCTGGTGAAATTCACTGTGTTGGAAAAACTCGTTATCCCTTTTATATGATAATGGTAAATATAGAGGATAGGCTAGCAAAATATTGTGCCGGTTTTATCTTACCTATGTCTGTCCCCATATAATTAGAGACTTAAAAGGGACAGACAGGATAGGGCCTCATTCTTGCATGATTAGCAAGAATACGCGCCATGCCGACAATATACTAGTAATTAGAAGTCTAATGAAGCTAATGAATAGACAAGCCCAAATAGCATGTATTATACATCATAATTAATGATCATTAACCTGTAAATTCAATATCAATATTCTCCTTATTGTCATAAACCCCCCTTTCATTTTATTGTTAATGGGTAGGCCTAGACATTATACCGCATTCTACTATTGTAAGACCGATATCTATCAATCTATAGAAATGTTATGTAAAACGTTGACATGCTCTATTTCTAGATACGAGAATTTCTTTTGGTCGACAAGCCGTTGGCACTATGCATCATAACCTACACAAGAGCCTTGCTTTGTACTTTATCTATAAAGGAAATTACTGTGAAGGTATAAAAGTAACGATATCTGTCATACGAACAATTCTTGAAACACATAAATATAGTATATATATATATATATTATAATAGTCAAAAGGGAAAGGCATTTGAAATGTTTCCACTCGGTTGATCTCGACCCAACAATGAACAAAGCTTAGCCAGCTTTAGAATTATTAAGAACCTAAGAGGTCATCAGGGTCACGATCTATTGAAAGCAACCATTTGTTCATAGGTAAAAGAAAAGGCGAATTATTCTGATGACTATCAACTGAAAAGCATAATCATTTAAATATGTGAGGATAAAGCTTACAAAATCATTCATCCAATTCATAGCTTTGAGGCAACTTTGCATAGTTTCACTAATAATCATCGAATTCTTGTGATTACGACTAAACGTCACGATAGCGCCCACTACTAACATTCTTGCGGCGTTTGAATTGGTTGGTGGTGATAACATTATTGAAATTATCAACACTTAATGAAACGGGGCCCGAACAAAGTTATTGCCAATGATTGCCTCACTGATTTTCTATACAGTCAAAAAAAATCTCCAAATTAACCCCATATTACCCAAACAAAGTACTTAATAATACCCAAACCAAGAACTTCATAATATCAAACCAAGCACCTGATAATACCCAAACCACGTACCCCAGAACACCCAAACCAAGTACCTCATATAATTTTTGGAATAAGAAAAATCAAATATGTAAATAAAACACAGGTAATTATCTCGGGATATAAACAACTGGTCTTCTTCTTTTCACCATACAAATGTCAAGCGAATATTGGGCTTCACACTTCCCCTCGCACAGATCAAACGACCTGAAAGAGAGAAGAGGAGTACAGACCAGATAAAGCGAAATGAAACACTCTCTCAATAAAACAGCCAACAAATTCAAAGCAAATATGAATATATGTTTTCATTCGCCTTGTTTTTACCAATATATGAAATTTACATTTCAAAATTTAAATTGTCCAAAAAGCAGCAGGAAATGGACAAGGAACTGATTAGGGACGTGATGTATTTCAGAACAAGCAGCATATGCCCTTACTTATTTATTGGACAATCTGTTGAACAGACCCAGGATGTACGTACAGTGAGATTAAGAAAAAATAATGTAGCCTAAATACCATATTTTTGATCACACTGAAAGCGCATTGAACCAAACTCGAAATCGACAGCTGATGTCATTAAGACCTAGATTTATTACACGAGCTGAGACCAGAATCAATAATATCTGTTTAACTCTGTTTATTATACACAGATATTGTTACACTTATTGTTTGTTTGTTGACAGCAGATTTATAATATACAACATTTACATACATATTGTTTATAACCTTGCTAGAGGCAATAACCCTCAGACATAAAGGGCATTGACTTTTTTTGGTTACATAATTGTCATGTCACAGGGCGTTATTACATCATTCATTTAGAATAAGAAGTACATATCTTCAAGGAAATGTGCAAATCACGTCTTCAAATTTGACACATGTCTCGATTTAGAGGACTACCGTTCTTTTTATTGCTTTCTATCACTTTTACCCGAGTGCAGACTCGAATGAACGACAACACACATATTTATTTTTAGTAAAATATATGAAGAAAGTTTATACAACCTAATCTATAAAAACTGAAATTATACAATTGATTTGGAATGGGTTCGATATTTCTTCAGTATTATACGGACATTTTGTTCTCATATATGGTTTATTTGTATACAGTATTTGTTGAATATAAAAAGACGCTTGACACAATGAACCTATATTAATATTCATTTTATTTACAATAATATGCATAAAACAAGATAATAACAATATAATAAATCAGGTTTACAACATTATATAATATACTATATGTAAAACAGAAAGACTTCCTTATGCATTTTTCATTGCAAGAAATCACTGGTGACAAATAAGAAGCATTACTTACAAGGAAAGATGTCACACTGTCAAAGACTTTGATATGTTAACTTACAGATCTAATATATTAATAGCACACAGAATAACATTACTTTGGGATGATTCTTTTTGTCATAAATATCTAAAATGGATTGTCAATATCTTTTCTTAACTGTTTGGCCGGGAACACTGATATCATCACCCCATCACCTCCATTTTCAGTCAGGGTTAGGTTTTCTTTTTCAGACGTTTTCTTCTTTGCAATTCCATTAAAACTATCGATAACCTCACTGTTGAGAAAGCATATACCAGTATGTAATATGTAATGTTGAAATGGTGCAAGAAATGCTTTCTGTGTCCCCACACCACATAAGAAAACCTGTAATTTCCCGTTTGGTACGATAGTCATTAAGTCAGGCAAATATTCCATATTGAGGATAAAATCAAAAAAAGCTTTCTGTGGTCAAAATGCCATTGTTTCCTTTAGCTATAGTCATTCAGTTCGTTCAGATTGCTGGCTGCGATTCTCACTTTTTTAAATCTCTGCCACCAAAGGTTATAATATATGCTGCTGATCAATGGAAGGGGCATAACTCTTGATATAATATAGACCTCATCAGGACTCACTCCACTAATTCATTTGCCATCTCTTCCCTTGTAAAAACACGAAATTCAACAATTCTACAACTTTCTCGTTGAAAGCTTTCCAATATGTCGAATGAAATTCTGACCAATCCTTAAAAACATTCAATATATGATGACCATGAAAATTTTGAGCTACTAAAATTGTAAGTAGCCTAGACTACTACCGGTTATACTCATCCGCTAGAGTTTGACAGTTCACAAAAGGACTATTTTAGAATTACCCTTCCGCCTTTAGGTCTCTCATCATCTTACCAAATCTTAAAGATAATGCAGACAACAAATTCCAAATTTTTAACGAAATGCGCCGTCAAATCTGGCGACGGTGTAGTGATGCACAGGTTCCCGAGAATATCCGAATGGACTCCTCACGACAACTCTTTTCTATGTAAATAAGTATTCATATGATGATTTTAGGCGTTTGCAATACAAATGTCGTTTTGTGTTCAGTTATTAAACAGGATAGGCCTATAACCCTATAACTCTCGTGTTAATTTTCGAAAGGTGCTTAAGATCAAAATTTATTTCAATTTTAGGTTTTTTTATATACTATAAACTGAAAGCGCCCAAACTTTTTTTTTTCAACATCTTGGAATATTTTTCCTTTATATATGTCAATTATTGGTTCAGAGTTGTTCTAGATTCCCGCAAGCAACAATCTAATTTCTGGATATTGTAACGAGGTGTCATTTTATTACATGAAGAACAAATTGAAGTAAAATATATAAATGTATTTCATATTTAATGAACTCTCTTGAACTTTAAGGAATTCGCTCTTATATATATACCATTCGTAGTTTGAAGAGAACTAATTCTAAA